AAGGCATAAGAGGCTGCAAAGTTTATGTAATCTCAGGCCTGCCAAGGTAGGCGGATTTTGAGGAAACAAGATCTTGGAGGAAAGGATGACAGAGAAACCTAAGTCTTGTGCTCTGAAAAGGTTTCCACACTTAAGACCTTTTTTTGTTCTTAAACTGTGCTGGGAGACAAGCTAAAAAAAAGCTTAAGCAGAAAGCAGTTGAAAAGCTCAGCAGTGTAGTAATATGTGACTAAATACTGATATATGAAATAATGCCATATCTTGTGGGGTCTAATTTTGTGCTGGGGAGACAAAAAATTGTCTTTCAGTGGTTGTTAAGGATTAGGGGCTCTGGTAGTCATTCTGAGCTCTCAGAACCCCTGGAAATGTTACTCACTAGGAGAGGGTGTCAACTAGAAGTAGGCTGAGTCTTAATAAGTCTGAAATTCAGTCTTCAGTCTATTCAACCCAAAATGGATTGGTCTACCCATTATCTAGGTGCCAGTTATAAGCTATATCCTCACTAGGGAAAGAAACATCATCCAGCTTGTATACAAATTTTAACACATACTATCTGATGTATAGTTAAAAATGTTATTAGCCATGTAAATAATCAAGAGGGGGGAAAAACCTGACAATAGAAATAGACCCCTCAGATCCAGATATCGGGATTATTGGTCATAGGCCTTAAAGTAATTGTGGGATCTACAATGACAAATCAAATAGACATTTGAATACGGAAAAACACAATAAGTTAAAACTCAGTAGATTAGTCTAATAGCAACTGGGACACTGTCAAAGAAGGGATTCATGAATTGAAAAATAGAACTGTTGAAACTATCCAGACTGACACGTACAGAGAACAGAACATGGAAAATAACGATAAAAAATTGTAAGAGATGCATTAGATCTAATAACAAAGTCTAACTTACAAGTAGTTGGATTCTTAAACTGTGATGGAAGCAGTACTTGAAGATATAGTAGTATATAATTTTTCAAAATTACTGAACATATTAATTTACAGGTTCAAGAAGCACTATCAATCAATCCTAAGAAAGACGAGTAAATACAAAACCATACTCTGGTGTACCACAGTAAAACTGCTGAAAACCAGAAAAAGAAAAAAGCTAAAAAGCCATAATCAGACTAATTCTGACAACACAACAGAAAAATAAGAGAAGACAAAGTCGTGATACCTTTAATGTTGTGTGGAAAAATAATCATTAACTCTATGTTCTAGCCAGATAAAATAGTCTTCAAAAGTGAAGGATAAAGAACTGTATCTTTAAATATGTGACGATGTTAATTAAAGACATTTCTAGACAAACAAAAACTGATACAATTTAGAGATAGGAGATGAAATTCTCCTGGCAGAAGGAAATTGGAACTAGTTTGAAAAAAGTGAATGCAGGAAGGAAAGAAGATTAAGAATAAAAATGCGAAAAAAAAGAGTGAAGATGTGACCAAATAGAAACTAATGCTGTTTTTTCAAAATAATCTTTTTCCTGCCTCATGGGGTTTAAAATACATGTGCAGTTAAAATGCACAATAATTGTAACACAAAAGGTGGACGTATACAATTGTTAAACATGTTCTAAGATCCTAGCCTTTTCTGGAGCATGGTTCAGTTACTAATTTGTATCAGATTATTAAATGTTATAGATGAATATGCAATCTCTAGTATTAATTTTAAAATAATAAAATATAAACAACAACCTGCTAGTGGTAAATGGAATATCAAAATATTTGGCTAATGTAAAAGAAGGAAGAAAGGAGAGAAAAGAAATAAGAATATATAGGACTGAAGCTGTCATAAATTTGATTATGTTGATAGTTCACAGCTATAAGCATACTAAAAAACATCAAAAGTATGTGCTCTGAGTAGATGAACTTTATAATATGTAAGTTATATTTTAATAAAACTATTTCAAAAGAATATGAGATGCATAGAATACAAATAATAGGATGATACATATAAAGTCATACTTCAGTGTAAATGAAATAAGTACTCCAATTAAAATTTGTGGATTATCAGCCTTGATTAAACAGCAATAGCAATTACATGCTGTTTACCAGAGATGTACTTTAAGACTATATTACAGAGAGTAAAATTTATAGGATGGCAAATTTGTATATATGACAAAGCTGAATCAAAAGAAAGCTTCCATAGTTATCTTAGTAGCTGAGAAAGAATTTAGGGCAATGAGTATTGCTAGAAATAAAGATGTACATTTCAGCCAGGCATGGTGGCTCACCCCTATAATCCCAGCACTTTTGAAGGTCAAGGCCGTAGGATCACTTGAAGCCAGGAGTTTGAGACTAGCATGGGAAACATTGTTTGGATCAAAGACCCAATTTCAAGGTTCAATTTGCTCATTTAGTAGCTTTGTGACATTTTATTCTGTTGTGAAAGATTTATAAATAATATATGTCATTTGTTTTATCATATGTAAAGTGAAGACTATGTGATTATATATAAGGTATGTAGATTAAAACCTGACACATAGTAACTACTTAATATGTGACCTGTACATTAAATAGCAATAATAGAATTCTGTAGCTTAAACAGTAGAGTTAAGAAATTTGAGAGACAAGCAAACATTTTCCTAAGGTTAAGGAAGTTCATGGTATTTTTTTTGCTCTAAATTTGTAATGAAAATGTAGATACAAAAATAGAGCTGTCATGTGACTTATCTTCCTTTCATATGATGATATAATTTAGAATTAATTACTTTTGTATTGGACTCTTAACCTATGTTCACTCTGCTGAATTAATTTGACTATTGTTTCTCTTAAGGGGAATTTTGGTCTTATTTAGAAAATGAAATTAACATTTTTCATTAGTGTTAATATGATAGAATATTTAATGTAATTTCCTACAGGTATTAAAATATCTATTTTCTCTAAGTTAATAGAATTAATTAATATATATATTTTTAAATCCCACATACTTGGTTAAGTTACTGAAAAAAATTTTCATTTGTCTTGCATGTTTTATGGGTTTGGTAATTGCTTAAATTCTAAAATTGGTCAAGTGTATTGTGAATTTTCTATTTCCTTTTCTTGATTAACTCCATATCAATCAATCTCCTATCCACTGTTTGCAGAAACTTAATTAAATGATTCTTGTTAATACAAATAAGAGACATGTCATGAAATCATTCTGCATTGCTTATACATAACTTTATTGTACGCTAGTTCGTCTTTTAACATTATGGACCGTTTGTCTTGTCTTGTGTGTCTAGCCATAATTCACTCCTAGCATACCAGCGCATGCTGTTGCTAAGTCTTTTTTTTTGGTTATTTGGATATTCAGTATGTTATATTATTGCTACTAATTCTTGCTATTTGAGGAACTGTGTTTCTTTTTTGTAATATAGATAATTAAAGAGTTTTTATTACTGATACTAGTAACTTTGAGCCTTGGATACCAGTTCTGTCTTTTGGAAAAATCCAACAACACTTTATCTTTGCACTGTTGTGTGTGTGTGTGTGTGTGTGTGTGTGTGTGTGTAACATTTGGAAGTGAACTTGATTATGCATAATATAATAACTTTGATAATCATTGATATCATTAAAATCTGGCACATTATGTTTTCCTGATAAACATGAAAAGAAAATCATTTCGGATTTTTCTTGGAAGGTAATAAATGTAAGAATCTGTCCATTTGGAGTGGGAAAGTACATGATAACTGTGCTATGCCTCAGAATGTAAAGAAATAGACGTCACTCTAATAGGTTAATGTTTAAAATGAGAACTTGAACTTTATACAATAGTGAAATATCTTTAAAAATTGATAGTGAAAATAAAGCCTTTTCCATTCACTAAAGTGTTCTTTTTTCAGTAGTTTTTTTTTAAAAATGCAAAGAAGTAGAGTATAGGTTTAGAACAGATTTTTCTGAAGACTAAACAATTTAGTAAAGAAGCCAAATTGTTTGAAGTAACCTATTGAATTTACCAGGGCTTCAAAAAAAAACTCCACCTATATATTTAGGTTGATATTTCAATATCACTTTATAACATTAAAAAACATTACTCTCTATGTTGAATTTTATGCACATTACCTTCTAAGACCTTGCATACAAGGCATGGAGATTCTTAGCTACAGCCCAAGATTTCTGCCTAAGTAGCATTAGCTTTTTACCTGATTAATGAATTTGCTTAGGACAAAAATTACAAATAAATATAAATGTATGAAAGGTCTAAAGCAAACCTGAATTCTCACAAGACACTAATAATACATTCTAAAGAAGTGTATGAGTTATGGAAACTTACCTTTGAGACTGAGCATGTCTGTGAACGCTGACACTCTTTTATTCTGACTCTTTTGCTGAGAATCCTAGAACAGTGTAGAACACAGCCTTTTTTAGCATATGGCTTTTTTGTTTGTTCTATTTACAATGTGCATATAAGTATATTTATTTATTTTTTAAAGAGTCACTAATGATTATGAGACTAACATTCAGTAATACATACAACTTTTAAAAAATAGTTTAATTGCCATATAATTTCAGAATTATTTGGCAAGGCATGTATTTATATTGTGAAATTTTATGATTTGCTAGAAAGATTGGGGTAAGGAATGTTTTACTGTAAATATCTTAAGAGAAATTGCATTTAGATGTCATGACCCTAAATTGATCTTTTTAGTTAAGTAGATTTTTATAGTTAGAGGAGAATAATAGTTCCTAAATCAGGAGCCCTATTGCATTTGAGAATTAGGTAAATGTTCATGTTTGCTTTTGAATATATTGGATTATTGTTATTTCAGGTATCTGCTGCGTTTCCAGCCTAATGGCTTTTGAAGTTCTGATTGCTGAATTAATTGAGGTTTTTTGTTGTTGTTGTTTGGTGAGATTAAATATTATTAATTAAACGTTTGAATACTGTTTCTTATTCGTTAGAAATGGAAGTAGATTTTGGTACAAGTACTACATTTCAATGGATTTAGATGATAGTAATTGAAACATTGCTAGGTATTTGTTTGTTTGTTATTTATTTTGGCTTTTTCCTTCCACAGCAAGTTGATGTGGAAAAATGGGTATGTGTTTCCATGTCTTTGCAAAGAATCTGTGATCTAAAAGTGCATGTTTGCTGTTGCCTCTAATCTTTTTATTTTGCTTCCTAGTGTGGCTTGTACTGTTAGTGTTCAAATTAACTGCTCTATTGTAATGAACACATATTTTATAGGTCTCCAGTTAGAACCTTATGTTTCTGGTTTTGCTTCATCTGAAATGGTGCATATTAAAATACACTCCATTGCTAGAACTCTATAGTTTTTATATAATTGGCCTTGTAGTAGTGATATGCTTCTGCCAACAAGAAGACTTTGTATTATCCCTACTGTACGTTTTTTGCCAAAAACCTTGCCTGTTTAATTTTAAAACCCCACTGCTTAGCCCTTATATTTTTCCATGTACTACAGAAGAAAGCAATTATATTTATTTATGTAATATTTTAAAACGAAGGTGAATGACTGTATCATGTAGAAAAGTACAGCCCCAGGATTCTGCAGGCTAAGTTTGAGGGCCACTTTGTCACAAGTTATGTAATACAAAGTATTTTATTACCTTTGGTCTCAGTTTCTTCATCTGTTAGGGGCAAAGAAAGAAAGAAAAAAGGAGAGAGAGAGGGAATCTGCCAGTTCTTTTCTGTCCTTAATACCCCAGGGTTCTGAATGGAAATTAAGAGTCTCACCAAGATATTATATCCCTCCTCAACGTTTTTTTCCCCAAGAGTGCAAATCGGTTGAGGCTTTTCACTGTTAAAATGTTTTGTTTTAATTGGATCTGCGATTTAATATGATAAATCATTTAAGATTGACTTAACGAATGGGTCATTGGTTGCAGCATCATTATTTTTCCTGGTCTTGGGAATTCAATTCTCTTGATACAATATTTTGAGAATTTTGCTATCTCTTCAGTAGCCATTCAGAAGTAACATTTCCCAAACAATTACATGCCCATCTGGATTTTTGTGATTCTTTGATTCTTTTTCACTTCTTTCAGCCCTTTGTAGACAAGGAAACTTTTGTTTTTTTCAATTTGCCATTTCCATGATGGTAACATCCATATGGATCTTTGAGAACTACTATTTTTATATTCTATTTCTGGGAACAACTTAAATTCATCACGTATCTCTTTATGACTAGACCATTAATACTACTTTTGTTCAACTATTTGATTTAAAAATTTCATACCTTCCTTTGTGCCTATAGTTAAGATTCTGATCCAAGCTCCACGTTTTTCTCATCTTGGTAAGGAAATCTGCTTCTTTCTCAGAACAAGGATGGCACCCCTTTGTCTCTCACTCTTCTGATTATCAACATCCTAAAACACATCCTCTGTCTTTTTCCATCTTTGCTTTCCTTCACTTGCGCTGTGATACTTCTGTGCTACATCCAGATGGATATTTCTTGGCCAACCACTCAAGCTGCTTTTCATTTTCTGGTTGGGAATAGCAAGAATATGTAAATAAATAAAATCACCTCTTCACCATGGTCTCAAAGTGTTCCCATTGGTTCCTCTGTGCATGTGATTACTCTTGAGCCACTTCACTGTGCCACTTTTCTCTCGTATTTCCATAACCACGTCTCAACTCAACATTTATTTTTATTATGTTTATTTGTAAATCTTTACCCGTAGACATTGCTTTCTCATTCTGAGAAAATATCTCAGATGTTTTCCAAACTGAGAATCAAGAGACTTGGCTTTGCCAGTCAGGGACTGACTTTATCAGCTCATGTAGGCTCACTGTAGGCCATAATCTCCTTGTCTGGAGAGTAAGAATCTGGGTGGCTCCTTTCTTGTTCTCAGATGATCCTATTATGTTAATGTTAAAGCACATGTAGAAGCCATATAATGGAAAGATTCTGCTGGATTTGCTTCACTGATGATCATGATGTGTTTTTGTCTCAATTAATTTCAGACTTGTGCTCTCTCTTTCTTTGAAGTCTTGTATAGTTCACATCTTAGGCTTTGGCCATGAGAAGTTTGAAATTCCAAGCAGACAGCAGACACACTCACTGTTGTCCTGTTTGTAGGGCCTGTCAATACATTATTTATTTATTTATTCACTTTAAAAAAAAAAGTTTGAAATTCCCCGTAACACGTATACCTCGAAAGGGCAACAGAAATTACTCTAACCCCCTGCCCACCTTGCTTGGGACTGTTCACTCTGCTCTGTGGGGCTCATTCTCCTCTGTCCCTTTCTTGCATTCAGAGAGCGAAACACCCCACAGTCATCTTAAGTCATACAAATCTCATTTCAGTAACTAAAATGCTCAAGCCTGTGTAATAGGCGAACTTGAACTTAATTCAAGTTAACTTGTGTGGGGTAGCTTAGGCGGCTCCAGGGAGAAGGCCTGGAAAGAAAGGAACGTGGAAGCTGTTTCTCCCTCACCTTGCTGGATTCCTCATGCCCTGCTTGGTGTCTAGAGCTTCTGCCCCTCTCAGATGCTATGGGAAGAGAAAGGTTGGCAGGAAGGCTCTTCTTTGGTCATAATGTCATTAACCGGGCTTGCCAGGTGTCTAAAGCTGACTTCTTCTCTGGGCACTGGTGGCTGTCTTTGGGGAGCTCCCATTCCCAGAAATCTCTGACACAAGATTCTCTTACTGCGGCCAAATGAATCTCCTCCAGGTGTCAGTGACAATTACTTCCTCTTCCTGTGAGCCCTTGACAGCCTCTGACACAAGCCTAGGCTGACTATCTAGTGCGCTGGCTGTCTAGTGCGACCCTACTTGCTTGTTGGCATTGCAGTCACTGCCCAGTTGCAGCCTTCTAGTGGCTTCAGTCAGCCTCTTGCCTCTTAGTCTCTAGGTAGGGTTAGACACCATCTACAGTGTCCCATCTCCCAGGGCCAGAGGTATTCTTGAAGCTAAACTTCCTAGATTTGAAGTGAGCACAAGCTTGGGAGATAGGCAGGACTCCAGACTTACCTGCACCTTTCTCTAAGGACTGGTTTCTTTGTTCTCCAGCCTCTTCTGACAGATTGGAGGTGGTTGGTCGGTTGACCAGCTAAGGGCAGCTAACAGGTTTGTAGCCACCCCCTTTGGCATACCTGCTAGGTGGTGTAACAATGTGTTTTGGAACATGGCAGTACAGATGCTCCCTCCACTTACCATGGGGCTGCATCCTGATAAACCCATTGGAAGTTGAAAAGATCATAATTCAAAAATGTATTTAATACACCTAACCTACAGGACATCATAGCTCAGCCTGTTCTATCTTATATGTGCTCAGAACACTTACATTAATTAGCCAACAATTGGGCACAATCATATAGCACAAAGACTATTTTATAATGAAGTATTTAATAGCTCACGTAATTTATTGACTGCTACACTGAAAGGGAAAACCAAATGGTTGTATGAGTACTCAAGGTATGGTTTCTACTGAACCGGTTTCTTCTTCACACCATTGTAAAGTTGGAAAATCATAAATAGAACCATAGTCAAGTGGGAAACCTTCTGCACTTGCCATTGTTTGTTCTGAGGTGTCCTATGTAACATCTGTTGTATTGCTTGTCTAGAGTGTATTTAACAACAGCAGGTTAAGACCTTTAGGAGGCTTATAAAACTTAAATGTATATGAAAATTAAAATGACTTCTTTATAACTTTTCCAATGACATAATTCTGGATAGCTTTATCAGAGGTCCCTCCCTGCTTCCCAGCTCTTTTTCTTCTTTCATCTTCTTTCCTCTCTCCCCTCATCAGTGTCTCTTTGAGCATCTGTGCAACTTTTTAATCTTAAATCTATTGAGTTATCAAATGCTGCTTTTCACATTTTTTTTTTTTGGAGTCGGAGTCTCACTCTGTCACCCAGACTGGAGTGCAGTGGCCGCTCCCGGCCACCACACCCTAGACCTGCTGGGCTCCGGTGATCCTTCCGCCTCAGCCTTCCGAGTAGCCAGAATTACAGGCATGCACTACCACGCCCGACTGATTTTTTGATTTATTGTGGAGATGAGGTCTCGTTGCCCAGGTGAGTCTCGAACCCGCGGGCTCAGGCAATCCACTCACCTCAGCCTCCCAAAGGCGCGGGATTACAGACTGAGCCACCGAGCCCGGCTACTTTTCACACGTTAAAAGAGAGCAAACATTTTGATTCCAGGATAAAAAAGTAATTCCTAAGTACTTCCATCTCCTCCACGCCCAGCTCTCCCTAACCCATGGCATTGGCTTTCAATGTGGAGGCCATACTTGACGTCATGGGTGAAGGTGACAGCAATAAAAGGATGGAAGCATTGTCTGTAGACCAAATGATGTCTTATAATAAGCTTTGAAAAAAATGTTGGCACTGTTGTAATTGTTAAAATACAAAATCATTTCAGATGTTCATAACTCAATAATTGAAAAAATTATGCATTTTCACACACAAGTACTATTATGTGAAGGTCTGTGAAACACTTTCACTCTATCAAGGTTCATTTATGTTTGAAATGGTTTTAATTATATATATAATCTTCTTTATTATGATATAGACAATTTTTATATGTATGTGGTAGTCTGAATTCAGGGTGGGCTTTACATGTCTTCAAGGCATTGCGGTCCATTTTTCTTATGTAGAAATCAATTTATTTTGGGTTTAGAGAAATTCCCTGCTGAGTCAAGCTGGGAAAAGAAAAAACTCAGATAGTCCTTCTACTTCATGTTTTAGGTATTCATGCAGTTCTGTGCTTTATAAACACATGTCACAGAGATAAACTGTGAAGACTTAGAGAAGCTTATCACAATCATGTATTTTTCCTTTACTGTTCTTCTACATATGTAGTGTCAAATCTATTTCAAAGGAAAGGACAACTTGTTTAGATACTGTCTGTACAGAGTTGTTGATAGGTTGAAAAAGACAGCAGTTGCTACAAATCTGTCAAAAGATGCATTTTTTTTAGACATATCTGCATACTCTTCCCATAGCTAGATGCCAGTGATGGTCATTAACACAAGTGACATGAACATTTCTATGAGAAGTGTCACCATGTGTATAATTACTCTGTCATGGGCTGATAGTGGAGCCCCTTTCAGATGTTTTCTAGACCGGCAATCAAATGTCTGTCTCATTGGAGCAGTCTTAGATATTTTCAGTGGGGAAACCTTAGAAAGTTAAGCTTTTCCATAGGGTAATTTTTATCATAGGAGTGATAGTTGAGGTTTTTCACAAATACATATTCACATGTGCTATTAGACAGTATGTATTGATAATTGTTGGAACCTTCATTAACTAAATATATTTTCCTATAAACCTAAGCCTTTGGTGGTGAGATAACTTTTTCCTTTTTTTAGCACAAGTGAGTAGTTCTATTAAGCAAAGAATAGTACACTCTCAAGAAGGGAGAGCGGGTAGAAACCTTCCCTTTCTTTACATAATGAAGTTTACCAGATATTTCTTCACAAAGGAGAGGTTACCAGTTGGAGTCTTATGAAGACTACTAGCATTTTGATACATGGAGAAGGAAAAAATGGCCAAAAAAAGAAGAGAGAGAAAGATTTAATTTTAGGGGACATTTTACCTCCTTAATGGAAACTTCATACCAGAAGGACTTCTGAGTCTAAATTTTACCCTACTGTCTCAGATTGTTGCATTTGATAATTATTTTAATGACAAGCCCCCTCCCGTGTTTGTTGCTAGTTTCTTATTTATATAATTTTTGAGGAAACATTTTAATAAAAGTTGTTTTAAAAGTTCTAAGATAGGTCCTTAGAGCTGTTAATTTTTAAAAATATGTTTTCATTTTACTAAGCTAAAATAGCAAAGGAAACATTTTAATAAAAGTTGTTTTAAAAGTTCTAAGATAGGTCCTTAGAATTGTTAATTTTTAAAAATCTGTTTTCGTTTTACTAAGCTGAAATAGCAGTTAAAGAAAATCTAGGTTGAACTGAAAGGCATAATTATATGTTAGAAGTTTTCTACGCCACCTAGATTACTGTTTCTTTCTTGGTACCTGTAATAGATTAGATGTACTTTTATGCATTCTCTTGTCCATATTTTTAACAATTTTCAGTATAAGATATTGCTATTTGTTTTTCTACTCGTAATCATTTGCATTTGTTGAGAAAATCCTTTAGTTCTTTACTACATCGAGTGACTTAAACTTGTAGACCAAAGACAGTTCTGGTGCTTTTTGTTTGTCCATTTGGCATGCACAGCCATTTGTGTTAAAATATAAGGATAGGAATTTCTCTTCCTGGTTTTCATGTTAATGTAGCAAGTGCTCTAAGTTCTTGCTCATATTTGAACTTTGCCTGGCCGGTCAATTCTGAAATAATCTAACCCCGGGCCACTTGCAGTTTTGCCCTACAGAACTAAAATTCCCCCCTTTTGTATTTCTGTGCAAATTGATCATCATCTACAAAAATTCTTGTAAGGCAAAAAGCAACTTGGAATCCATGCCGTGTGCCTTTACAATAATTTCCCTTGTTATCATCTCTTACTCTGTTCTGTCTAATGAGATTTACTTCTTGTCTGATGACATTTTCATGAGTAAAATAAGTCAGATAACCTATTTCTTTGTTAAACTTGTTGTAAGTCTAAAAAATATATCCTCCACGCCTGAAGAGGCTACTTTCTTCAGTACGTATCTTCGTGTGTGGGTTTCTTTTTTTCCTTTCCATCATGTCAGACTTTAAAGTGTTTTTAGTTGTTCTTTTTTTGTTTGTTGCTTTTTATCATACGTAAGCAATGTTTATGTTGAGATTAAAATGATATATTCATCCTTTTTGTTTTAATGAATTTTGCTTTCTTCTTTGCCTTTGAATGATCCCTTTTGAATATCTCATGATGCTATAGCATAATTTTGATAGTCTAGCAATAGAGCTAAACTAAGCAATGCATGATTTGTACAAAAAGTTAATGCCAATAATGCCACTGATACCACAAAAAATCTTTTATATTCTTATTTTTTTGAAAATAATATATGTCTATTACATCTCCTGTTTTTTCTCATTCTACAGATGGATATTTTAGCATTTGTTGATTTGCAGTATTCATTCTATTTTGTTGTAAATAAAGATTATTCTCTCCTGTGTCTTATTCTTCTTGTAGTCCAATACAACTTACAAATTCTGAATAGCAGGCCTAAGCATATCTACTGACCACTCTTTTTTTCTGTCTACTACAATTTTAGAGTAGTTCAACTTAGATAACTGACAAAATTAGGCCAACAACTTTTTTTAAAGAAAAACCCCCAAACTCAGCTAAATTAAATGAATCTCAGGAAGAGAGTATTTATTATAAACCATGGGCTATGACAAAATATTACATTTTTATATTTCTTTAAATTAAGGTTTAAAAATGATTTTGCCGAATTTTTAAATTTAGTGACATCACTATCATTAGTGAACCACAGATGGGCATATAATTGGTCAGTTTCAACATGGAAAATAAAATTTCTGATATCATTTTTCATTAATATCCATTGTAACATTGTAACTAAACAGCCTGTATTTTCTAAGCCAAGAATAAAAGGTTCTTTATAATTTTTCTTTCAAATTGTAATATTGAAAATGAAAAGAATCAGTCTCAATGGAACTTACATTTAGTAATACACATATTGCTATGTAAGTGTGCTTCAGGGCAAAACTAATTCACAAATATATTAGGATACTTTCCCTTGCTGTTTTCTTTAAAACAAATGTGTCTGTGCTTGTCTTTTCTCTGTAGGAGTTAGACGTGCTCCCAATAACTAAATTCAGCCTTAAGTTTGGAAATACATTGTTTTTCCTTCTTAGTTTTTTTTTCCTTTCATTTGTGCCCTTCATTTAGGAATAAGAAGTCTAAGAAACTTTAGGAGTCTAAAGAAAAATTAAGTAACATATATATATACACGCATATATATATGTATTACACAGGCAGACACACATACATGCAAACATTATGTTTTGAAGAAGAAAAAATAGCTATTATACATGAAAGGACACATTCATGTATATTATTATACATGAAAGGACACATTCAACATCTTAAGCGGGGAAGAGAAATGTGATTTCTTTGAAATTTGCCTCACAATATGTAGTCTCTAAGAAATGGCTCATTGTTATTTTGCATGAAATATGAGCAGCTCATGCAACATGTTAGTTTACAATCTACCTTACCTGTCTCTAATCTACTGGTTTTACTGAAACAGTTGGGTTACTGTGTATACCACTGCATTTTTATGTAAAAAATAAAAGATTTTTAAAGCATTTTTAGAGGATACACTTAAGATTATATCTTTTCTTGGTACTTAGAAATGTTGTAAATGGAATCATGCATTAAGGTAGAGCAGCATGTTTTCACAGAAACAGGAAGAACTAATGTAAAGCATTTTTAAAAAGAGTTTTGCTTGCTACAGCTTTTCTCTAGCATGTAGTTGATACTAAATTTTGTTGCAATAACACAGTGAATGTGTTTTTTTATGTTTATTGTTTACATAGCTCCATTGAGGACAATGGAGTCTTTGCAAATAAGAGATATTTTAAATTAAATTTTTCAGATGATGTATATTTAATATTTTCTCTTTTTTTTCTTATGCCCCTACAGAAATTCATGATGAAGGTAAGACATTGGATGATCTGCTATATATGCAATACTTTGTATGTTTTAAGGAATATAAAATGTTTTAAGGTTATATAAATTTGTTTTATTTTTAAATCCATGGCCCTTTTCTTCACATTTTATAGTTTTTAAAAGTCAATTCAGCCAGGCACAGTGGCTCATGCCTGTAATCCCAGCACTTTGAGAGGCAGAGGCAAGAGGATTGCCTGAGCCCACAGGTTCAAGACCAGTTGGGGAAACTTGGTGAGACCTTGTCTACAGTACATCAAAAAATTAGCTGGGCGTGTGGTGTATGCCTGTAGTTCCAGCTACTTGGAAAGCCGAAGCACATGGATCGCCTGAGCCCAGTAGGTCAAGGCTGCAGTGGCCATGAGTGTGCCACTGCACTCCAGCCTGGGTGAAAAAGTGAAACTCTGACTCAAAAAATAAATAAATAAATAAAAATAAAAAGCAATTCAAACTTTGGAACTTTTAATTACTGCTTAGATATAAGTCAACAAACATTTGACATCTTTGGGTCATATTGTAACGTAGTAAGTTAATTAGCTAGTGTTAGTAATTTACCTTATTAAAGCATAGTTTTTTGGTAGCTCTCCATATAAAATATTCACTCGGAGGCTGATTTGGCTATTTTGTGTTTAAGTACTCTTATATGAATACACAGGGAATGTTCTTTACTGGGAAATTAGGAGAGGCACCAAGAAACTAATTCTGTTTCAGAGGAAGTGAAAATAATTTAGCCCTTTTTCATTTCTCAATTAAATTAGAAAAATAAAAAAGTTGTAAAAGGAAACAGATGAAAAGAGAAAAGTAAAACATATAGCCATGTCATTGAAGGAATATGTTGAAGAAGGATAGGAGAAGCGGAATGTAGTTTTTTGAGGATATATAGAAGAAAATTTTGTTTCATTTTTTTACGTGCTACCATATTTATCCTGTAATATTCATGAGATTTAATTTTTTTATCTTACATCTGAGAAGCAACAGTTAAATTTATTTGTGTTCAGTTAATAAGAGCTTAATGTAATTTATAATAAAAGAATTCTTTTTCAAAAGATATAAACTTTGAGAAATATTAATAAAAATACCAGAGATAGATTGAAAAGGTTACTTTAAAGAAAGGCAAGTGTACTCTTTACAGTCTGTTGAATTACTTAAGTCGGTTATGCATTTATATGTCACAAACTCTGAAAACTGAACCAGGTGCATTACTGGGTACCCACACTGTACTTATTCACTAACAATAAGGATTTGGAAGCTTTGATGACAAAACAGCATTTCTTTGAGGCTGTTTATCAATAAGAACATAGAATGTCTTTCAAAACTTCAAATAACTCCAGCTCTTATTTTTCAGTAGAAAATACAAGTATTATTGTTACATTGTGAAGCAAGGACACTAATCACTAAATTAGACATCTCATCAGACAAGGGTTTTACTTGAGAAAATACAGCAGCAAAACACGAATATTTCCTCTTCTTGCTAATAATAGAGAATGAAATTGGGTTGGAAAAAAATTCAATTTTTCTTACAGAATCTACAATTACTGTATTCATATTGTCACCTCGCCCTTATTCCAATTCCCTATCCGATGTCATCTCGACTTCCCCTTGGAGAAGGATGAATGCCATAGTTACCTGAAACAGATATCTCAAGCTCCTTTGTAAGAGCAAAAGATTCATATATAAACCAGTGCATGTAAAAAGATAATGTAGAATCTGTTAAAATCAGGTGGTGTGCCTAAAGTAATTTAATTAGGCTCCGATTTCTTTTAACTGTGAGGCCAGAAGGCCAATAGCTATTTTCATACCTGCACTGGATGATCTAGAAAGGTTAGTATTTGATTAAGGGGAGAGCATATGCATACAATTAGAATAATTTAAGCCATTTAAAATGAAAAAGATGCTGAATTTTATTTAGCTTTCGCCTTTCAGTCGTGATTTGCTTTGGGTTTCATATCCAAAACCCATTGTTTAACCTCTTATAACCAGACGGATGCCTTCCTGTTGCAGGAGCCTATTTCTGCTTATGGTGTGAAACAGTGTTGAATTCGTACTATCCTAAGTCTGATTTGTTCCCTAAGGAGGCTTTTGTTAAAGATACCATGCCAAGTAAACCATTCAGTGTCAAGTGGCAGTTTTGACAGCATTCAACTGGCTTTGTCAGGCACATCTATTTTGAACTGAAGCCAGAACTCTAATTGATTATTATAATCATTCTGTGGCCCTGTTTTATGATTCACCACGTGTAAATGGCAGAACTGTTTGAGGATGGCCTGCTGCTGGGGACCCACAGGCAGATGGAAATGCCAGGCTCAGCAATCCTGGGATGATCTTGTGTACAGTATGCTGTTCACATTTGCAAGTCTTTCTCAGATAATGAGAAGGATTAAACACAGATATTTTTCTATTACTTTCCTGAAACAACCAGGTTTTCTATTTCCCAAGTATCACTATTAGTATTTGAAGATAAAAGCGTCTACATTTAAATATTAGAGCCCTGGAAAAGAAATCTTTTACTATGAATTTCTTTTTGTTGTTATTTGTAATTTTTAATATTGGCAGTGTGATTCAGTATTGCCCAAAGTAATAAACTTTTTAAAAGATTCCATTGTTTAACTTCTAAAATGGCATATTATATTGTAGCATTCAAGGGAGATAGAAAAATGCTCCTGTAGAGTCTGACTTATTTTAAAAATATTACATCATAATGGCCAGGAATTATGAGAAATATCTTACATTGATTGACTGAGCATTTTTGTACAGAAAAGATGATTACAGTCAGACGCAGTGTAATCCCAGCACTTTGGGAGGCAGAGGCGAGAGGATTACCTGAACTCAGTGGTTCAAGACCAGCGTAGGAAACTTGGCAAGACCTTCTGTACAGTACATCAGAAAATTAGCCGATTGTGGTGGCATAAGCCTGTAGTGCTAGCTACTTGGAAGGCTGAGGTAGAACGATTACCTGAACCCTGCAGGTTGAAGCTGCAGTGGCTGCGAGTGTGCCACTGCACTCTAGCCTGGGTGACAAAGTGAGACTCCAACTCAAAAAAAGAAAAATTTAAAAAAAGAAAAGATGATTAGAAAAACAGAAAACCTTAAAATATTTAGATGTTACATAGTAAATTAAATGGCTTTAATTAACAACAATACAAGAAACATATTAATAAGCAAATATATATTGCAAACATGTATAGTTGTCCCTTTGTATTCATAAGGGATTGGTTCCAGTACCTCCCACAGATACCAAAATCTATGAATGCTCAAGTACCTTATTAAAATAGTGTAGGACTTGCATATACACTATGCATACTGTTCCCTGTGCTTTTACTAATCTCTAGATTATTACAATACCTACCACAATGTAAATGCTACATAAATAGTTGTATTGTGTTTTAAAAATCTATATTATTTTTATTGTTTTTAAAAATTATTTTCCATCCAACATTGGCAGAATCCGGTAAAGTTACATAGGAATATTTTTGTTTTATTTTTTTAGAGACAGGCTCTTGCTCTGTTACTCAGGCTGGAGTGTAGTGGTACCATCATAGCTCACTGCAGCCTCAAGCTTCTAGCCTCAGGTTGTCCTCCTGCCTCAGCCTTTCGAGTAAATGGGATTATAGGCATGAACCACCATGCCTGACTCTGGGCCTACTATATTTCAAAGACACAGAGCCAGAAACAAATCAGAAAGAACAAAACAAAGAGCCAGTAATGTTCATGTGTGTAAAACCTTTATAGTTACATACATAAATGAAATTGTGTAGGCAAAGCTTTACAGTAAAAGGAACTCTTTTTGGTTAATTTCAAGACCTTGTTCTTTAAGAAAATTTCATTTTGATTGGTGTGATTGTCAAGTATTATTAAAGTTCAGCTGGATTTTACTGCTTTGGAACTCAAATCTGTTATGAAAAGGTGAGCTCCTATCAAAGAAATTCAAACCAGACAAAGTAAATAAAATTATTCTTGGCCACAATAAGTCAACTGTATTACAGAAAAGATAATTACTCTCTAAAGAGAGCCTTATTCTATGAAGGAACATAATTTTTCAAAGTATATTTTTTCCTTTTGTGAAAAAATTAATTTTTTTAATGAACAGAAGTTCTTAATTTTTCCAGTTTTATTGAAGTGTAATTGACAAACGTTGTACATATTTACAGTGTACAGTGTGATGTTTTGAATATAGGTATACACTGTGAAATGATCATCACAATCAAATTAATCAACACATGCTTCACCTGAAAAAATTAATTTTTAAAGCATTTTTATTATCTTAATACCTTTTAATATCTGTTTTAAGAATGGCTTTCCAAGCTGGGCTCGGTGGCTCAGCCTGTAATCCCGCGCCTTTGGGAGGCTGAGGTGAGTGGATTACCTGAGCCCGCGGGTTCGAGACCCGCCTGGGCAGCAAGACTTCATCTCTACAATAAATCAAAAAATCAGCCGGGCATGGTAGCGCATGCCTGTAATCCCGGCTACTTGGAAGGCGGAGGCGGAAGGATCGCCGGAGCCCAGCAGGTCGAGGGTGCGGTGGCCGGGAGTGGCCACTGCACTCCAGTCTGGGCGACCGAGTGAGACTCCAACTCAAAAAAAAAAAGAAAAAGAATGGCTTTCTGTGTTTTCAAGCATAACATAAAAAATTTATTTAAGAAATTATATGGAGCAATATCTTTTTTTTTACTAAAAAAGATACAATGATATTGGATATTAAAGTAACTTTCTTCCACACTTCTTAAAGTATGGATCAGTATTATCATTCATTCTTAAAATCCTTAAGATCTCTTGTTCCTACAGAAAAAAAAAAAGTGCAAACTCTTCGGCATGACATTTTGTACCTTCCATGATCTTTCCCTGGTCTAATTTAATAATTCCTGTTAAGTTTCTCTGTGAAACTACAATCCCATGATCCCTTGCAATTACATACCATGGTGCTTTTATGCATACTCCTCACTCAGCTTGAATTGGGCTGCCTCACAACCAGTTTTTAATTCAACAGATTTTTACTGAGTGCTTGCTGTGGTCTGACCTTGTGCTGGGAGCTGGAGATGAAATGATCATCAGGAGAAGGTCATAGTTCTCAGTCTGGTCAAAGAGAGAAAGGTTCTTGCAGTGTAGAGTGGTAAGACCGATGTGCTGGGAGCAACTGGATTTGAAGAAACCAAAGAGGCATGATGCAGGAGGTCGCCCTTAACCTGAATTTTAAAATGTAGTTTATAAGGCAGAAAAGACTACAGAGACAGGGAACATTGTGTTCCAAGACAGGGCAGCTTGAAAGCAGTGTGGCATATTTAGGGAAGAGAAAGATGTTTGGGCATGTTTGGAGCGTAATGTGATTGTAGGATCAGGCTGAAAAGAATTGAGACTAAATATCTCCATACTTCCATTTCTCAAAGTGTGGTCCCTGGGTCAACATCACCAGCACCACCTGGGAGATTTTTGAAATGAAACTTCTCTGTATCTACCCCAGACATACTGAATCAGAATCTCAGTGGTGAGGCCCAGGAATCTGTGTTTTCACAAACTCTTTAGGTGATCTGTAAGCATGGCAACATTTAAGGAGCCCTCTTCTATTTTATAGGATAGAATTGGACTCTTTCCTATAAGCAATTAGGAGGGATGGAAAGTTTTTAAGCCTGAAGGTGATATAATCAGTTTTGTGTTTTAGAAAGACTTGTTCAGTTGAACCAATATTTATTTAGTACTTCCTGTGTGTCAGGCATTTAGGTAGGCACCTGGGATATAATAATCACCATGGTGCCATAGTTCCTGCCCAATGGAAATCATAATATAATGGGAAACATAGATAATAACTAATAAACTATGAATAAATAATTGTAAATTATGATGATTATTTACTGATACCAAATTTATTCTTCAAGAACTAGATCAGACGTTAACCCCATAATTGAGATTTTTCTCGGTAGCCTTATTCCAATGTAAGTATTATTTTCTTGTCTGCAATGGCTCTTACTGCATTCTTTGCTACTAAACTTTCCCTTGTAAGCAAGAGAGTATTTTGCTGATTTAGTTAAGTTACTCTTATGTTTTATTCTCTTCTGTTCTCCTTTTCTCCCTTCTCTTTATAGACCGCTCAAGGTGGTGGTCATCGAACACTCCTCTATGGACATGCCATATTGCTACGCCATTCCTACAGTGGCATGGTGAGTAGACGTTTTGGTTTCATATCTCATATGGTCATGCTAATACATTTGGGGACACACAGGGAGTGTTGGTAATACCATTTCGGCAGTAGTATTAGTGAGCTTAGATGTATATGCCCTTTAATATCTTTGTACTCTGGTTACTTAGCTTGTTTAAAAGTTGAAGATGAGCTTAGAGGGGCTTCAAGATTCTTTAATTCTATCATTTTATAGCTACCATTTTTAGTACCTTACTTTTGATAGAGTTGTTTCAGGAAAGCAAAGGTGTAAGAGTCCAGTAAGAAATATTTCTTTTGGGATTTGTTTTAAACAGCTCATTTATAGCAGAAATGCAGTATCATTATTGCAAGATAAGAGAAAAAATTCTATCTGTGAGCTCCTATGTTAATTCTACTCACTAACTTCTTTTTGTTCCTCACTAGGTGTTTTCTTATTCCACCTCAGCTCCTTTACCTGATTATCCATTGGGCTTCTATCAAACATTGTTTCCTCATTCTCTATATATACACATATGTATATATATATTTAAAGTATATATATGTTTTTATATATTTTATAAATACTTTAATATATTTTTGCATGTATATATGTACACACACACACACACACACACACACAATTAACCCTTGAATACACAGGGCTTAGAAGTGCCAACCCCCTCCATAGTTGAAAATCATGTATAGCTTTGACTCTCCAAAAACTTAACTACTGATAGCCTACTGCTGACCTGAAGATTTTGAATGTTATATGTTTTCTATATATGGTTAATGTAAGCTAAAGAAAATAAAACGTTATTAAGAAAATCATAAGGAAAATAGGTTCCTATTCATTAAGTAGAAGTAGATCATCATAAAGGGCTTCATCCTTGTCCTCTTCACATTGAATTGGCTGAGAAGGAGGAAGGAGAGGGAGAGTTGGTCTTATTTTTTTATGGTTGGCAGAGATGGAAGAAAATCTGGGTATAAATGGGCCTGAGAAGTTCAGACCCAGGTTGTTCAAGGGTCAACTGTATATAAATATTGTAAACATATGCAAAAGTTTAATTCTATTTTTTGAAAAAATCTTTATTAAATTATAAAAGAAATACATATATATTTTATAATATTTGCATACTAATGAGAAAAACTTTGTAAAAACTTTCAATATTTTTCTGGTTTTGAATTTTTCTTTTACATAATTGAGATCTTACTACAGTAGCAAATTCATATCTAGATTTTATTGCATATTATTTTAACATAAGCATTGTCCATGTTATATAAATTCTTCATCAACGTAATTTGTGGTTATGTGATAGTTCAATATCTAGAAGTATAACATAATCATTCCTTTTAAAAAGGAGATAATTCTCATATTATATAAATTGTTCTAGAGAAGAAGACTAATTATAGCCTCAATACTCATGTCCAACAAGCACATACACATTTTCAATCTCTCTCTCTCTCTCTTTTTTAAGTTGGAGTCTCACTCTTGTCACCCAGGCTGGAGTGTAGTGGCATGCTCACAGCCACCACAGCCTCAACCTGTTGGGTTTAGGCAATCCTTCTGCCCCAACCTTCCAAGTAACTGGCACTACAGATGCATGCCAACATGCCCAGCTAGTTTTTGGTATTTATTGTAGAGACAGGGTCTCACAAAGTTACCCAGGCTGATCTCAAACATCCAGGCTCAGGCAGTCCTCTCGTCTCGACCTCCCAAAGTGCTGGGATTATAGGCTGAGCCACTGCGCCTGACCTTTCAATCTCAATCATGGATATTGATGTGATAATCTGATTTTAAATGTCAGGTTAATGGAATCAAAGATATAAAAGAGAAGTATAGAAAAAATATAGGTATGAGTTTAATGATTATTTAATAATATTTCTATTAATTTGCTACATCACATAAATAGGTCATATAAAAAAATGTGATCATCTTCACAAGTACTGAAAAGGTCTTTAATAAAACTCAACAAATTGCTGCATGCAGTGGCTCATGCCTGAAATCCTAGCACTTTGGGAGGCAACGGCAGGAAGATTGCTTGACGACAGGAGTTCAAGACCAGCTGGGCAACATAGCAAGACCCCATCTCTACAAAAATAAAAATAAAAGTTAGTAGATTTAATGACACACGCCTATGGTTCCAGCTACTCAAGAGGCTGAGGCAGGAAGATGGCTTGGGCCCAGGAGGTTGAGGCTGCAGTGAGCTGTAATCATACCACAGTACTCCATCCTGGGTGAAAGAGCAAGACCCTGTCTCAAAAACAAAACGAAAACAGAAAAAACTCAGCACCCATTCTTAAAAAAAACTAAGAATTGATTATTTTTTCCTCAATGATAAAGAATATCAATGTCAAATCAATAGTGAACATCATAACTGTGAAACACTGAAACCATTCTGGATCAAATTAACTAAAATAAATGAAAATAATAATATGTTTTATCTTCCATTTATAACTAATATTTTTTCTGGAAATTTTGACTGAGATGGCTGGATACAAAATTTTAAAAAAGTAAAACTGTATAGTAAAATGGCTGGATATAAGACAAATATACGAAAACTTGTTTTTATAGAGCAGTTACACATCAAAATTTCATGGAAAGACTTCCATATCCATGGCAATCAAAACACATAAACTGTATAAAATAATAAATGTGAGGGTTTGTTTTAAGAAACGACTCTCTATACATAATAGATGGGTTAAGAGTCTGAATTTGGTTGTTAGCTCTGGCTTCATTCTCACTTTGCCCACATGCTGGGCAGCCTGGAATACATTTTGTAATTAAGCCTGTAATTGCAACAGAGACTTTCATCCATTCATTCAATAAGTATTAGTTTGCATCTACTGTGTCCTAGGAACTGTTCTAAATGCTGGATAGAGTATTGAATAAGGCCACGTCTTTGCCCTCATGGAACTTAACTAACATTTAGTAGAATAACTATAGTATCTACCTCAAAATTGCTGTGAACAGTAAAGGAGAAAATGTATATTAGTAGTCACAGTACCTAATACTGTAATATTATTGAGAAATATTGAAAAATACTTTATGTTTTTGCCTAGGATGTTTGAGTATTGTAAAGTTGTTATCTTTTTTCCAAATAAAGGCAGATGTGTAGCACAGTTTAGATCTAAAGTCTCTAAACCTCAAGGTAAGCTGTCTTGAGGTCAGATTCAGTTTTGCACTGGTTAAAACCAAGTTTGGGTACCTTTGAAGCCTCTTTCCAATAACCTTGGGAACCAGTGCTTTGTTGTCAAGGGACAAAATCAGAGTATCAGGTCAATTTTATTTCACATCTCCATGGCACTGAATTTCTCCTGACGTGCCAGGATAGCTGCCCCTGATTGGCTCATCTTCTGCCTTCTCACACTCAAAGACACCCACTTATAGGATGGGCCCTACAGCATAATAAGACATTTCTAGTCTTTGCATTAATTGTCCAGTAATTCTAGAGGGAGCTTGCTCAATCTCTAGAATTGTCTCTGTGTACTCTTTGTAGGGCTCGTGTTCTTGCTGGCAGTGTACTTGCTTGGTGGAGATGGTAGTGTGTTTTGAGCTCCTTCCACATTCATCTTTGTATCTTCTTTCTTACAACACTTAGTCTCATGGGGGTAGGGAAGAGACCTCGTCTCTACAAGAAATCAAAAAATCAGCCGGGCGTGGTAGCGCATGCCTGTAATTCCGGCTACTCGGAAGGCTGAGGCGGAA